GGGGTTCACCCTGCCCCTTGAGATGTCGTCAAGTGCTGTGATTGGTCAAAGCACTGCACCTTACCTGTGTCAGGTGCAATGCTTTCACCAATCACAATGCACTGTCAGGGCTCAGTGCATTGTGGGGCACGGCGGGCGAATAGCCCATATTTGAGTTGAACTTATGTTTGACTCGAACATGCAGCCCATCCCTATTTGAGATTACCAGGTCCAGCAGAGCATTATTCCTAGTTGGGGCCTCTATGAACTGTACCATAAAATTGTCCTGTAGTAGGTTTATAAATTTTTGCCCTTTAAACTGTTCCTGCAGTGCCATTACTCAATTTTCTTGTAGTTAAAATCCCCCATTATTATCACTGTCCCAGCCCTTGCATCCCTTTCAATCTGTGCAAGGAGCTGAGTCTTCCTCCTCATTAACACTTGGAGGTCTATAACAAACTCCAATGATTACCTTTGTGCTGTGCACCCCCATGTGCAGTTCCACCCATAATACTTCAGCCTCATCACACTCTCCATCAACTAGGTCCTCTTTCACACTGACTCTGAGATCACTTCTCACATAGAGACAGACACCACCACATTTCCTATTTACCCTGTCTCTCCGAAAGAGAACATAGCCAGGAATGTTAATGGCCCAGTCATGTGAAGAATGAAGCCAAGATTCAGCAATACCAATTAAATCATAGCTCTCTTCATGCACCAAAGCTTCCAACTCGCCTATTGGCCATGGGAACCTTGTTACAAACCCAGGGCTGGCCTTCCTTTTCTGTGAGCCCCTACCACTCCTTCTTACTACAGTAACCCATCTTCCTACCTCATAGTCCTGATTAGCCCCTCTGCCCTCCACTTCAATCCCATTAGCTACCTGCTCAGAGAGCAGAAAACCCCTTTCAAGTTTGTTGGTTCTGCCCAGTGTTGCAACTTGCTCATCCAAATCTCTAACGCGAGTTTCCAGATGGGCAACCCGCTCATATCTGTCACAGCAGTATCCATCCTGGAGCTGTTGCTCCATTGTTGCATACATGAGACACACTCTGTACTGCACAAAACCTTCAACCCTGCTAGTACAAGTCATAATCTGGATCTCCACTCTTGAATTTTTATACGAGGGCAGTCTTGCTTCTGAATCTTAGATTTATATCTATGCATTTATTTATGCATATTTATATCTACTAATTTTTTGGACAAGTGCAATGAAATGCACTACTATTCCAACAAAAACCCTAATAGTGCATAACATTAACTAAAAACAATAGACATGAACTGTGTTGGCTAAATCATGTCAACGCACCACAGGGATGTGAACAAGCATCATAAAAAGAATGGCAGACCTCTGTACATAAATTAATATGCTTTACAACCACGAGCATTGAAATGCATAGGTGTGAATTGGCTCTCAGAGGTTGCTTGATTATTTTTTTTTATTATTTGCTTGTAATTTCTCTCTGCCAGAACAAAAATGTAAGGATGTAAGGCTTCTATTTGTATTTATTCTGGTCACAAAGAGAAAAAATGAATAAACACCATTCTATATCTCTATTATTTTTAGATTTTAGGTGACTGTCTGAGTCCTTCCTACTCAGTGCTATCAAAGCTGACTGGAAGAGTAATATAATTCATTTAGTTTCTAAACAAGTTTTAGTATAAAGGTTTGTATCATTTTATGCACCACTGTCAGACTAGACTTATCAGTGGCTGTAGCTGATTAGCTGCTGCAGATGCTCATCCAAAATTTTTCAGAAATGTCCCTTCAGCTTCTGTTGAGTGGGGGAGGCCACACAGGTCAAAGTTTGGCCAGTCCATGCTGGACCGGACAAATTTTGATCAATGTATGGCCAAATTAAGTTACTAGCTTGTGTCTTTTATTTTGGTCCTCCTTCATCACTGTTAAAATAGGGAGAGGTAACAAATATAAAACATAATGTCTTAATATTTTTTAATATATAATGTGCGAAAGGGAGACTCGCAACAGGCTCTGAAAACAATACAATCTTTTCATTAAAACATATTTCCACTTTTGCAGTCAAATTTGAGATAACCCAACTATATGCTTGTATGATATACACTCACTGGCCAGTTTATTAGGTACACCTTGTTAGTACCGGGTTGGACCCCCTTTTGCCTTCAGAACTGCCTTCATTCTTTATGGCATAGATTCTACAAGTTTTTGGAAACCTTCCTTAAAGATATTGGTCCATATTGAGATATCACGCAGTTGCTGCAGATTTATCGGCTGCACAGCCATGAACCATTGATAACAAGGCAGGATGGATCCATGCTTTCATGTTGTTTATGCCAAATTCTGACCCTACCATCTGAATGTTGCAGCTGAAATCAAGACTCATCAGACCAGCCAACGTTTTTCCAATCTTCTATTGGTTCCAATTTTGGTGAGCCTGTACAAATTGTAGCCTATGTTTCCTGTTTTTAGCTAACAGGAGTGGCACCCGGTGTGGTCTTCTGCTGCTGTAGCCCATCTATGTGTTGTGCATTCAGAGATGGTGTTCTGCCTACCTTGGTTGTAATGAGTGGGTATTTGAATTACTGTTGCCTACCATCTCAAACTGGTCTGCCCATTCTCCGCTGACCTCTGACATCAACAAGGTATTTTTTGTCCACACAACTGCTACTCATTAGATAATTTTTTTTTCGGACCATTCTCTGTAAACCTTAGAGATGGGTTGTGTGTGAAAATCCCACTAGATCATCAGTTTTTTAAATACTCAGACCAGGCCGTCAGTCACCAACAACCATGCCATGTTCAAATCACCTAAATCCCTTTTTTTCCTCATTCTGATGCTTGGTTTGAACTTCAGCAAGTTGTCTTTACCATGTCTATATACCGAAATGCATTGAGTGACTGCCAAGTGATTGGCTGATTAGCAATTTGTGTTACCAAGCAATTGAACAGGTGTACCTAATAAAGTAGCCTACAAAAGGTAAGATGCAGTTATTAAATATTGTTTCAAATTATGCTTTGTTACATGTAACAAATATATAAAGTAGGTGTTATTCCAATTTTGGCTGCAAAGGATAAGTTCACCTTTGGAACATGTTACATGTTCTACACATTTTTAGGGTGGAATGTGTAACACGTTCCCATAGCTGCACCAGCCCCCCCCCCCCCTTCCCTCCCTCTGACAGATAGTACGGGGAGACTTCTCCCCAAACTATCTGTCAGATTTGAAAACATGTTGGTGCCCACACGACCATGTGACTCATTCACTCTTTCACTTGTAGGCACTCTGTGAATGAGTACCTACAAGTCCTGACAGCCTTAGCAGCTGTGGGCTTGTAGTATTCAATAAACTACCATGGCGTTGTGGAGCACCGTGGTAGTACATTGAAGCTTCCTGTCAGTATATCTGCTTGCTAGTACATCCCGTATGGCCAGCAGATGTTCTGACAGGTCTACAGGAGACCTGCATGGCATCAGTGATCTACTGGTGCAATCTACTGATCGCTGGTGCAATGCTCTCCAGGCTCCTTTGGACAAAAATAATAACTGCACATTTTTTTTACCAAAAAAATGTGCATTTATTATTTTTGGCCAAAATGTGAACTTATTCTTTAAGGCTCATACAGTTTTTACCTAAAAGCTGACCCATCACACTAAACTAATTTTTGTTTCCTAGGTGGAAATTTTTGGAGTCAACTAAGCTGTAGTGAGAAGCTTCCATTTGTGTGCATATACAAGCCGACTCAGCCTTGGGACCTAAAGTAGTAATGAAGACTATTTTCAAACAATCGCAGCTTTTCCTAAGAAAAGCAAGTTGATAACCTTATTTCAGGTGGCAACCTCCAGGAGTGTCATGAGATTTGGTTTTCACCTTGCTTCCAGGCCTACTCCCTTGGACAGCAGAAAAGCTGCAAGATCTATTTTACTGCTCTGCCTCTTCATCTATGGTATGGCCACAGTAAATAAGGGTGAAGGCTAAATTCTGGGGTAGGACTTAGCACAGGGTTGGAGCTTGAAGCACTGCCCTAGGTTGAACAATGTGATTAAAGACTCCTATTCACTCTGGATTCTTAACCTTTTTTACTTCTTTTTATGGAATAAAAACTGTTATTTCTCTTGCCTTCATTTACTGACTTGAATACTTATACCTATTTTATGATTGTGTTTCTATCAAATATGTCTCAGTGTCAATTTGGGCTGGCATTAGGTTTCATGGCAACCTGTTGTAGCACAGCACTTAGCTCTGGTACCTTAAATGACAATTGTGCTTCAAAAATACACACCTAACCCATCCTTTGTGAAGTAACCTTCACTAAAACCCTTTATCTTAAGTTCTTACCTCTATACCACATACTGTGTACTGACACATCAAAGACTTGTATATGGCCATTTTGGGATGCAGCTCAGGTATAAATTGCTAGACTCATATGGGGCAATATCGGACACTGGTCAAGTAAACATTCCATGGAGATAGACTTACCATTTGTGCAGTCTGTATACAGGGGTCCTCTGGGACTTAGCAATTTATTTTTACTAGGTATGGGTTTTAGGGAATGTTAATTTACAGTAAGAGCAGCCAAAAATAAAGCACTAACAACCGTAATACAGAGCACAGTTTATCTGGTGTTAAGTCTCATACATTAGGTGTCTTCTAGGTCAATTTTTTAACAAGATTGTCAGGTAAACTCAAATTATTTAACAACCAGGCACAGTGGTTCTATTCTCCTGTGTTTGACCTTGTAAAAGTGATATTAATAAGACTCCGCCACCTTGAGCGGCCATCTTAAGTAAGGGCAGATGAATTTACTTTCTTCTGGAAGCCATCTGCTGTGTGCTTAGCCTCCTCCCCTCCTGATGATTCTTGGGATGTATCGCAACATTTGCCTAGGCATGGAAACCAAAAAGTAACTAAAGAAATGTAATATACTTTCCTATCTGTTTACTAATATTAGCAGCATAAGTATTAAACATAGTCAATGTTGATTGAAAGAGTGAAGTTCTGCTTTAAGACAATTTCCACAGTTTGAAGTCTAGCAATGTTTCAGTGACTATACATGGAATCCATTGAGTATTTTATTAAGCTGGGTTGAAAGCTCCACTGTTGCCACCTTCCTACTGGAACATATCCAACTGCTTTACATGCAGCTTGGCTCTTCTTGTTGTCAGGTGCCACATGGCAGTAGATTGGGGCCCCTCTTGACTGCTGTATAGCCATCAGTCTTGTCACTACATTCCCAAACAGTCTCTGACTACGATAGGAACTCTCAGTGTACCCCATGCGTATTTCTGCTGACTGCTCACTCAGCGACCAGCCTATAGGTTGCGCCACTCCAGGTATTCTGGCACACAAGGTGGAAAATGTCTGGATACATCGTCTGATATAATTTTCACTTATTTCATTACCACCAAATAGCCACTGTGCATTAACAAGGGGTGCTTCATTTGGGTTCAATGGTGAGAATTGCAGGTCACTTATTCTGTAAATGGAGGAAGCAGAATGTGGATAATAATTAGGAAACCCCATTTAAAACAGAAATTAATTGTAAGAAATTGCAATGGCCTGTCCTTACTTCTTTGGAGTCCACCAAAATATGATGAGATTCAAAAAGGTGGAAACACTTTTGAGAAACAAAGCGCTATATTTAACCCTTGATCTTCAATGGCCACATATTTTAGAGATGGACTCTGGAGAAAAGAAAAAATACCCTTGCATTGTGTTCACCCTACACTGCAAAGGTTAAATACTCATTTTTGCCTGGGTATGAAGAAGAAGGACTATTACTTACCTAATCTCTTGCTAACAAAGACTCCTCCTTCCATGTCTCTGGTTTCCTAAGGCCTCTTCTCGAAGGTGATCTGCCCAACAATTGCAGCTCTTACTTTATCAACTACAATGCAGAACCAGCAGTTCTTCATTGTACTGTACTGTATATGAGGATACCAAGTGCCTGCCACAACCAAGAGAGTCCAAGACAAGTGGTGAGTACTGGTTGCAGGTGGAGCAAGGAACAAGATAAGTAAAAGTCCTTTTTCTTGGTACAGTAGGCAGGATCCGCAATAAAATTTGCTGAGAGAAATACAGACATCCATGACTAACCTCCTCCTGAAAATGCTAGTTCCTTCTATGTCTCAGGCTTCAGTCCTTTAAAACCTACATCAAAAAAATAATAATAAAAGGGTGCTAGACTTATCAATACATTACTGTATACCAAATGTGCACATATTTTACGTGGTCCAGGTGGTCATATCAATATCACCAGGAAAAATCAATCGCGCATAGACACCCTGATTCAAGAAACCACCATACTGCTGACCTATTCAACATTTACCATGTTATTAAATTGGCACATGAAAAAATGCTAAAGTTTATAAAAAATGTATCTTTATTACAAAATACTTTAAGAATAAAAAAATCACACTCTTCACCTTCCCAAGTATAAAGACAATGTTGTTTAAGACCTGACCTAAATCAAAGCATGCAGATTAGGAATGTCACTGATCAGCATGATAGCCAAAGTACTAGCATTTTCAGGTCAGCAATGATAGCATCCATATATATTCTCACTGCTGATTTCCTTTAATATTGCTTCAGCTAATTATTCAAGAATGATGTGTCCAATGTGCTCCATACGTTAACTGTTGTTACATACATTTTTCATTGTGTTCTCCCCTGAATGTAGGTGTACTTATTATGTGGGGCAAAGAAAATTTTTTGGAACTACCAAAAAGAAGCAATCAGAATTCTGCTTTTAGCAGATATTTTCATCAAGCTACCTTGTATTGCCAAGTGCTTCCACTTCATCGGCACTTATCTTCCTGTCTCTCATGTATAACACGTTACTCACAGTCCTCATATGGCCTCCATGCTTGGACAGAACTGTGTGAATGACTTCCTCCAATGCCTGACAACCTAAGACAGGGATGTAACAAAAAGTAATCACTGTGATGCATTATAATTTTTTCTTAATTAAAAAATACCAACAGTTGGAAATCTATGCTCCCTTTCACCTGTTTATTATTAGCTTCTCTGTTCGAAAAGCCTGTTGTTAGGAAAGCTCAATAGCTCATACTGAAATTTACACAAAATCAAATTGTTTAGAGGCCTGAAGATATTTAATTACAGAGTAGCAGTCTAAAAGCAAGCAGCTACTGCTCTTTTGCAAACCCATAAGACTCTGTGAGTTAAGACATAAACGGATTAAAAAGAGAAAAAAACATCACTTTATAAGCTGATAAACGTAAAATAAAAATGACCCCAAACCATTATAGTTTAACTTTAGCAAAGGTTTGATCAATGACACTCAGTTTCCAAAGTATGTTAGGCTTTCTATAAAGGAAGCAGTGCCTGCATGTTTGGAGACAACTTGGCTGTAACTAAGATCGACGGTCCATCTGGCTTCAAATATATCTGTTTTGTTGGAAATATGGGGATGCCATTGCTGATTCATTTTTCCAAAAATACTAGTTTTCATGTTACTCTGATAATAGGTAGGTAATGACTACTTGGAACTAACTTGCTGTATGGTTGTTCTAAATCAGTGGCTGAAAATGTATTGCTGTATGGATGTTTAATCAGATGGCTGAATATGTTGTAGAGAAACTAGCATATTTAGACGAATATCGGCAATTGCATCCACCATAGATCTCTTGATCCTGTCAGAAACCCAGTAACCAGTAAACCAGTAGTTAGCTGAGAACTAACTTGATACTGAAACTAACTATACCAGTGTTGTAAGGAAACTTAGCAGAATACTGAACATAGTTTAGACGAATATCGGCAATTGCATCCTGGACTTGTTCATAGATCTGTAAAGGGGTTTCTTGATCCTGTCAGACATCAATTGTTTATGTAATACAGTAAATCAACCCCTTAAAGACTACCACCAGTAACCAGTATTAGGCCAGTAGTTAGCTGAGAACTAACTTGATACTGCAAAGATGTTAAACATACCTAACTTATACTGCAAATTCAAGGAGTGTTGTAAGCCGTAGCCATGCTTTCTGCTGCTACCTGAACTACAGAAGAAGTCCCCTACTTATTTGTATGCAGAAAGGGGACCAACTGAACATAGTTCAGATGTTCCCATGTAGGGTACCACGAGCAGGCTTCTGACCTAGAACTTCTCTTGTGTGGGCCAAGGCCTCACTCCTAGAAGGAATACTGTATGCAGTCAATTGGGAAACGTGATGTTAGTACCGCTTTTAGTGACAATGGTCCTTAACCTGTGTGGATAGAGAATGGTAACTGGACTTGTTCAGCCCTACAATATATTCTAGATAGGTAGGAAGAGCACTCTGGTGATGGGAAAGGGCTACTCCTGGTAAATTAAGATGTAAGGCTGTAGCTTAGGAAAGTGGACCCTTTGGGGTAGGCCCATAATAGACTCTCTTCTGTAAAATCCACCAATCGGAGACCTGCAGCAAGTATGATGGAAGAGTGGCCAATCATTCTTTGTAAAATGTTGGAACTGTATAGTGGCGAATTGCTAATGCTGGACCAAAGTGCTGGAGGTTTAAGGTGAAGGTTGAGTTGAACTTTTAATATGCTTGTGCCACAGTAAAGAAATCTTTAAAAGGATGAAAATGTAGCCATTCCTTATTTCTTCAGAAATTGACCTCATGTCAGGAGAATGTGAGTGATCTATGGTGGCAGAGTTTCTCTCATTACAGTTGTGTACCCTAATCCTTTCCTGCTGCAAGATGATGTTAGGAGATGCCATTAGCCAGCCATTTCTGGCTCTTTCAGGTGTGTACTCACTTGTTTGGGTATAGGTTACAGATGGCATATAAATAGAGATTTTACTTGCGTTGTTTCTTTACTTGCAACAACAAGCCTTGTTAGTCTAAGGAAATGGATAGCTAGGGAACTCCCACCTAGGGAACTCCCACCTAGAGAATCCATCTAAATGAATGTTACATACTGCTGCCAAGGGTCCAAAGAGCTCCCATGGGGGCTGCAGCTATACCAAAGCACTGCACTCCCGCTACCCCTTACTTCCTATGACCACCCACTCCACTCATATATATATACTGTATATTTTCTAATCACCGGGCTAGTAGAGAGGAGAAGGGATGTGTCCCTCCTATGTGAACCACTCTGTTGCCTGTATAATCGAATCTCCCATTTTCTTCAGGTTTATTTTACAACATAAGCTGGTTTATGATCCTTGGTTAACCTGCTGTTTTTACAGTGTATTTTCAAATTTACCTTGTTGCAAAGAAATAAAAAAATTTTTTTTTCCTGAACAACTTGTATAGCTTTCACCTTGTATCTGAAACATCTGACTCCAGTTCACAGTCTGGGGATCTTGCAGCATGTGACTCAGACTCTGTGGGTCTTTACTGAACATAAAGTAGGTGTTGGTGTAAGGATCTATTGGGTTTTTCATCTCCTAGAGGCAAAAGAAATTCATATAAATAGACTCAAAAACTTCTCCTCCCTTTGGGGCATCTCACCATCTTTTATGATGAAAATGCACTTTCAGTAAAATTTTGCACCAGCTGGAGATAAAACTAGTTCAGTGATTGGATGACTGGATTATAAAATGACATCACACCTTTATTTTAACACAATTGAAAGCTAAACTGCAATCGGGTTAAAACAAAACAGCTAATAAGTTGTGGTATTTATTAAGAAAACTATTCAGTGTATTATAACTGCAACTAGTGTAAAGTAGCTGATATTTTTATTTAATAAAAGTGCAATTACAAGCAGTGTACAAATCGAACCCAGTATTAATAGGATGGCAATCTACATACAGTAAATTAAACAGAAACCTCTCACAAGACATAATAATCATAATGAAAGTTGCTGCATTTAACATTTTATCAGCCTTATATGCTCCTCTATACATCAACAGCCCAACAGAGAGAAGAAGGAATAACACAAGATGCCAAAATAGAACATGTTGACAGCAGGAGGAATTGATACCCAGCCAACTGGGGAAGCTTTTGGCTGGCCGCAAATGCATCAGAATTGCACCAGTTCAGTAGGGACCAGCCGAATATTCATGTATGGGCAGGCTGGTTGTACAGAAGTCGATTGTTTGCAGAGCTCAGAAGCTCAAGCCACAAGTGAATAAGTCTGAGCACTGACTCCCCCCATCTTTCCTCTGTGTGACTCCATTTAAGGTTTTAGTCAGAGACACCATGCCCAAAAACAGATGATTGCAGCTTTGTTTTCAGCTAAACCACAGAGCTCTGAGCAAGCTTTAAAAATCTACTAAATGTTTGTAAAATAAACATATTTACTGTACAAAATTAGGTTAAAAAAGTCCATTTAGGTTAAAAAAAAAAAAGAAAAAAAAATGAATAAATAAATAGAAAACCTCGATACAGTTGTGCTCAAAAGTTTGCATACCCTTGGAGAATTGGTAACAGTGGCAGGCAAAACACATTTCTTCTATTTCTTATGGGATTTATATTCAATTGTCATAACAGAATGCCGCAATCATAAAACAAAACATGACAACAAGTAAACAAATGAAATGATCTGTTTAAAAGTCTGCATACCTATAGTTCTTAATACTGTGTATTGCCCCCTTAGCATCAATGACAGCATGCAGTCTTTTGCAATAGTTGTTTAAAAGGCCTCCAATTCTTGTAGGTGGTATAGCTGCCCATTTGTCTTGGCAAAATGCCTCCAGGTCATGCAAAGTCTTTGGTCATCTTGCATGAATCGCATGTTTGAGATATCCTAAGAGTGATTCAATGATAATAAAGTCAGGAGATTGTGATGGCCACTCCATAAACTTCACATTTTTTTTTTTGCTGTAACCACTGGAGGGTCAATATGGCCTTGTGCTTAGGGCCACTGTCATGCTGGAAAGTCCAAAAGAATTCAATGCACAGCTTTCATGCAGAAGAATGCAAATTGTCTGCTACTATTTTCTGATAACATGCTGCATTCATCTGGCTGTTAATTTTGCTAAGATTCCCCGTGCATTTTTAGCTCACCCCCCTCCCCCCAAAAATCAGTGAGCCACTACCATGCTTCACAGTGGGGAAGGTATTCTTGTTGACCCTTCTATGGTTTGTGACCATAAAGTTCTATGGTCTAAAGCTGTGAGGCTTGTCAAGGTGTTGCCGGACATAACCATGATATTTTGTGGCATTGATGCAGTAAATGCTTCTTTCTGGAAACTCATTTTTTTTCAAGTATAATTGTTTTCAGAGCCTGGGATCGAACCTGGGCCTTCTGCGCTGAGAGGCAATGTTTCTTCTCACTGAGCTACCTGGGATGCTGGAGAACTTTCTGCCTGATCTATTGGACAATCCTGCCTTGTGCCTTGTTTTCGGATGAACCTTGAACTCCTTGTTTCTCCCTGCTCCTCCCATGAACTTCCTCATAAAAGCCATGTCCATGCACTTCCTCCTTGCCAGATTATTGTGCCTTCCAGCCAATATCCCGCTCACACCTTTACTGCTGCCGTCTATATAGTTTGTGACCGACCTTTGGCTTGTGACTGACTCCGCTTTTGTCTTATCCCTGTTTGATCTGCTATTGGTTTCCAGCTTGCCCTTTCCCTGGTGGGGTGATCCTGAGACTGCGACCTGGTATTCCCATGCAGCCAAATCCATCTCCACCATTAGGAGCTCTGGGGAAGACAGGTGGATACTTAGACCCCGCACCTCAGGTGAGCATGCGTCATTCCCAGGGTGACCCGCTGGTGTACCTTTCCTGCTGGTTTTAGGTAAGCCTTACACTGCTGTAGCAACTGGTCTCTGAACCTGACCCAGACCTTGACAGAATAATCTGGCCCAAACATGGAGGCTGCTATAGCAAGTGTTGTGACTCCTCTTAGGCAGCAAATTGCTGAGCGGCAGCAATTTGGGGTTACCCATCAGGAAAAAGTTGCCAAACTAGAAAGCATTGTGGATAGGCAACAGGGAGAGATTCAGGCTCTGCAGAGACAACTGCTGAACCGAGATGATCCTAGCTTGCATATGTCCCAGCCCCAACCATCTAAGTTTAATGGAGACTGCCGCCACTACAGAGGTTTTCTTAATCAATGTCGCATATGTTTCCAAATATACCCTGCTGCGTTTCCTTCAGAGAAAAAGAAAGTAATGTTTATTATTGGGCTTCTGATTGGGGAAGCTCTAGCTTGGGCCTCCCCTTATATAGAGCAAAACCATGGCATGTTGAATGATTTTAATACCTTTTTGACCGCGATGAATAAGGTTTTTGATGATCCCAACCGTTGTACTACTGCTCAAGCAAAATTGCATAGTCTGCGGCAGGCTAGATGCTCGGTCACTGAATACACAGCCGAGTTCAGAAGTCAGATCGCAGATACCACTTGGAACCCTGCAGCACAAAAAAGCCAGTTCCACCAAGGACTTTCTGAACTGGTAAAGGATGAGCTTGCCAGAGTAGATATTCCTAATGATCTTGAGGAATTCATCCAATTGTGTATCGAATCGATCAAAGACTTACAGAAAGGAGGAAGGAGAGGTTGGGAATGTTTGGAGGCAATAGGGGCATGCATCTCTTGGCTAGTCCATTCAGCAGGATTCAAGAGTCTCTCTGGGTTCTAACACTCCTGAGCCTATGCAGGTCGATACTATCAAGAGATCCATTTCCATTCAGGAGAAAGAGAAGACGTTCAGAGAATTTATTTCTATATTGTGAGGATTCTGGTCCTTATGCAATTAATTGTCCTAACAAAGTTAAAAGAACAATTGCTGTGACTGATGTGATTGCACCTGAACAAATAAACTCTATAAGCCAGTCTGTCTCCCCACTGATTCCTGAAGAGAATAAAGTGAACTCACTACTTTCTCATTTTGTTATTCCCGTTAAACTTGTCTCTGAGGGCCGTGAAATCTTCTGCTCAGCTATGCTGGACTCCGGGGCTGTGGGGAACTTTATGGATATAGAGTTTGCCAACAACAATAATATTCAAGCAAGAAATACATTTACCCCTATTGATATGGAGACAGTTGATAGGTCCCCCTTATCTTCAGGACCTGTTACCCATAAAACGGTTCCCCTGGTACTGTTGTTTGAGGCTGACCATTGTGAGACCATCAGCTTTCAGCTGATTACATCACCCAAGTTTCCCATCATCCCGGGCATTCCTTGGTTCTCCACTCACAATCCTTCCATCAACTGGGGAGCATGGACTATAGATTTTACGTCCCCCCACTGTGAAAAATATTGCAAAAGACCTTGCCGACCAAGTTCGTCACCGACCAAGGAAGCGCAAAGTAATATAGTGGCTATCCAGTCATATGACAATTTTCCCCCACATTACCATGAGTTCCGGGATGTCTGTGACAAGAAAAATGCAGATCAATTACCCCCTCATCGCCCATATGATTGCCCCATTGAGCTGCTCCCAGGGGCAGAAATACCTTTTGGCCGCCTCTTCAATCTGTGGGAACCTGAATTAAAAGTACTCAGGGTGTGCGTCAATGAGAATTTGGAGAAGGGCTTTATTAGACACTCAACTTTTCTTGCAGAAGCAGCCCTGTTCTTCGTTGAAAAGAAATACTCCACCTTGCGTCCATGCATTGACTACAGAGACATGAATAAAATCACTATTAAAAAATGCTATCCATTACCCTTGATCTCTGAAATGTTGGAAAGACTTCGTTCTGCCAAGATCTTTACAAAACTTGATTTACGAGGGGCATATAACCTTGACCGCATTCGTCAAGGAGACGAATGGAAAAACCGCCTTCAGAACCAGGTATGGGCATTTCAAATCCTTGGTGATGCCGTTTGGACTTTGCAACGCCCCTGCAACATTTCAGCATTTTATCAACAATGTTTTTCGTGATCTGCTAGATCAATTTGTAATTGCCTATCTGGATGATATCCTTATCTTCTCCGATAATTGGGAGGAGCACCGCAAACATGTTTGCACTGTCTTTTAAAGATTAAGGAAAAACAGACATTAAATTGGAGAAATGTGAGTTTGAACAAACCCAGTTCCAGTTCTTAGGCTATATCATTTCTCCAGAGGGAGTGAGCATGGATCCCGAGAAGATCAAAGCAGTGGTAGATTGGTCAGCACCTGGAAATGTTAAGGAAATTCAACATTTGCCAATTTCTACAGGAAATTTATAAGAACCTTTTCTAGAGTGATAGCTCCAATGACACAGCTGACAAAGAAAGGGGTACCCTTCGTGTGGACCTCTGAGGCACAGGCTGCATTTGAAAAGCTGAAAACTCTTTTCACTTCTGCACCAATTTTGGTACATCCTGATCCTGAACTACCCTGTATAGTGGAAGTGGATGCTTCCAATTCTGCTGTGGGAGCTATCCTGTCTCAGCGCAGTGATGAAAAAATGCAGCTTCATCCTGGTGCCTACTTTTCTCGTTTGATGTCCTCAGCCGAAAGGAATTACGACATTGGGAATAAAGAGCTACTGGCAATTAAGG